TTTTTTTATATATTAAAAAATCTATTTTTTTATATAAAAATATATTTAATGCCTTAAAAATACGAAACGCATTATGACGCTTATTCTTCGCATTGACACGCCTAAACTTGTGATTCTTGATTCTCGGCCTCGACGCTTCGCAACGCATTACGCATTTTAAAACACTGGTATTAAGTATGAGACAATTCAATTTTCAGGTTTTAAGTTTTAAAATTCAAAATTCAGATATTAAGTAATTAATTAAAAGTATTTTATTAATTAAATATATTAATATCACAATTATACAATTAATAGTTACATGTGCGTACTTATAGGTCACAACGTCACATATTATCAAATTAATTGATTACAAATTATTTCATGGTCACAATAAAAAAATTTCATAGGTCACAGTTTTTTTATCTATCACAAATCAAAAAAATTATAGGTAATAATTTATTTATCGGTTACAAATTTTCAAATTAGTTGATCACAAATTATTTTTCAGTCACAAATAACCAAATAGTTGGTCACATATTATCACCACCAATACTATCGACACCACCACCACCACGGTTATTTGCAACCACCCCCATCTCGCCATCGCCGCCACGACCACAACACCACCACCACCACTAACAACAACAACACCACCACCATCACCAACACCAACAAAATCGCCGCCGCCAAATCCGCTGCCAACAAAAATCACCCCAATACCAAAACATGAAAACCGTCACCACTCCAAAAACTAACAAACTAAAAACACCCCCAAATGCAGCAAACTACCACCATCGTCAATCTCCAGGGGCAGCACTCAAAACTCTCCATTGACGACGATGTAATTTCTACATCAGCGGTACAAATCAGAGATAAGCCACACTTGCGCAGCGGCATCATTGATCTCAGGCGTCAACGTTGCAACTTCCCTACTTTCAGTGAGACTGTGTGCAAATCTTCTCCAGTGGTAGCGACACTCAAATCAGATCTCCAACAATCCAGCATTTAACAGCGACTTCAGCCTGAGTGAGCCATGAGTAGTCATGACTCCATGGTGAGTGTGAGTGATTGCTGCTGTGAGTTCGACGGTGGTCTCCGACAGTGGGTGCAGCGGCTTCGGAAGTGTAGGTCAGACAAGATGGAGATAATGAATTTTAGGGTTTGGGATTAAATTGGATTGGGATGGGGTTGGATATATTATTATTATTATTAGTTAAATTAACACATGATTTATGATTAAATAAACTTATTATCTGATTTTTGAACTATGATTTTGAAAAGCGTAGTAGTGTAATTTTCACCTAATTAAATTAATGAAACTTACGGTATATTATTACAAACGGCCCCAAAAATTCGAAGAAACAAGGTGATAATTCAGTCATACCAGCAAAATACACTAAGACTTGGAAGAATTTGTTAGATTCGAACAAAGGAGACGGGAGAACTTATCATATAGTGTCATCTAAACTGGTGTTATAGTAGCACATAACATTATTCTTTTAAAAAATACAAGATAAAATCTGTAACACAAGTTCTTAAATCTATAAGATAGAAAAATATAAAATCTGGTTCATATATTCACCAGTTAACTTTCTTATTCATCCTTTTATTACATTTTTACTATATAAAATATATCACATACAAACCAGCACAAAATGATCCATCAAGGGATGCTCTCCCTCTGTATCTTTATGGGGTCACAACCAAGAAAAAAGAAAAAGAAAAACATGTTGCATCTACAGGAATGCAACCAACAGCAAAGCTGAAGCTGATAGTGCCAAGATATATGGAGCTGAATTTATTCTGGACCCACTGGGCGGATAGAAACTTGTTCCATTAAAACCTACACCCATATAAGTATTAGTCGAGTAAGACGGAAATTTTACCATATATTTTTCAAATAAAATAATTTTACACGTAAATTCGAAACTTTTTCCTATGTTTGAACTACGCAATCTCCAAAAACTTACTATTACAAAATCTATTCTTAAAAAAATATGAGGCTCAAACAACCCTCACGGTGGATTGTACCCTAAAATTTTCATTAAAATGTTCACCGTTTGTGTCCTTTTATATCGCACACCACAACACAAGCCGATACCTAAATTACTTAGTCCTTATTTGAGGCTCATTAAAATTCAATTTTTCTCGAACATATTCTCAAATATACATTCATCTAATTATAAAAAAATTTAGCACATAAACCCAATTTTTTCATACTTTTTAATTACACATTATCCCAAAATCTATTCTCAAAACATGGAGGATCTCCTTCATTTCTACGAAATGTCAAAATAATAATAATAATAATGTCGATAGAAAATATATGTACATACCTGCAGGATTATTGCAGCCAAAGTCGATGGTATCGTTGAGATGTTGGACAGTGGCCTTGTTTCCAAACCAGAAGTCCTTTTTCACGTAGAGAATGCATTGAAGCACTGCCCTAATGTGATCTGCGCACCCTTCCTTGCAGAATGAAGGCCCATCCGCATGGGTTACGTTCAGCCAACCCGTAGTGTTCAGTGTATATGTTGTGCAACTTTTTGATGCCTAAAATTAAAAGAGTAGGTAAATTTAAACTTTTGAACGAAGAAAATGAGGAAAATTAGTCTACGATCACTTGTTATTGGTTTTTCCTTTCTAAGAGGTAAAGGCTTTTGGGCGTTGGTGATGGATTTTCGGTTGCTAGTGCTTTAGATTTTGTCTCAAATGTGTGATGGAAATTAACAATTCGTCGGCAACTATGGATCCGAATTCTTTTATAATTATTGTGATGATAATTAATTCTTATAGTTATGAAATAGAGAAGAAAAGACATGAGTAGAAAAGGAGTTACATTTTGGAGGCAGTAGTAAGCACTTCTCCAAGCCTGGATTGGGCTTAAATTCACATTTGCCATGGGCCACGTTGTGTCTGCACGAAGCATATCTTTCAAGTCAGTTAAAAGCAATGACAAGATGGAACATACTTGGCAAATATTGTTCCTTTCTTGTTTAGTACGTTAAACTATGCGTGGCACCGGTCAAGACTAGCGTACCAAAACATCACTCGATGAAAATTCTACTTCTTTCAAGTTAAAGATAGACCGCACTTTCTCCTAAGTATGAAAACAATAATCCACATATAATGGTTTGATCTACTTATTTTTACAGGTTTGATCGATCTTTTACGAAAAAACCCCACTGTTCAATATGTTCATAGCCTAAAATTTAGATATGCGATATGTATGTTACTCAAGACTAGCAATCAGATTTCAAGATTGGCTTTTTTCATACGAGCAGACATCTTATGCTAAGGATAAAATTCCATGTCACATAAAATATGAAAACAATGGACATATAAGGACTTTGACGACTCTTGTTAACGAAGATGGAGTCTCGAAGCTCAATATTTCACCAAAAAAAGAAAAAAGAAAAATCATGCTGCAAATCTATCACTCTACAACCCAAAACACAAGAGCAATAGATATACCATTATTTTCAGACACTTGATCATCTAATGTTAAGAACAAAAATGGGAGAAGGAAATTACTCTCTGCTTTGGCACAAGAAAGAAGAATGAATAAACTCAAAATTTGCAAGAGGAAGACGAAGCCACTGCCAAAACTCCGGATATGTTTCCCCATAGCTTCACGTCGTTAAACCACGCAAGTACACACAGTAATTATATAGTATAAGAGAAGCAATGAGATGGCTGCAAGGTACAAGAATAATACATTGTACAAAACTATGAATTAATCTTAACAATATGTATTCGAGGGATATTCTAAGAATGCGTAGAACATTGATATGAACAAGAACTATGTGATGAAAGAAATGAAATAACAAAGTTGCCTTTGTTGTTTTGTGGCTTGAGAGAAGTGACAGTAATTTGTAAGAAAACATGATTAGATGAAACCAATGTGACCAATTTTTATGTTGTTGGCTGTCTTTTCATGTTTTAATATACACGACAAGTAAAATACGAAGTTTCATAACAATATTATATAATATATATTAGAGTATGCTCGATGTTAACATGAACAATTCTATCCGTCTGTCAAGTCGATATGGCAAAAAATATAAATGTCAACTTAGCATTTTCTAATTTGGACAATAAATAAAAAGAGAGAGCTAATGAAAACATAATATAACTCTTTGAGTCTTCAAAATGAAATGATATAATAATTAATAACCTTGCAATAAATTAAATTCAATTCAAGAATTCGTTAGTTCAAAAGTTCAATTTTTTCAATTTTAATTCGGCCTTTTAGTATTGCTGCATTTTCATAAATGGTTTTCAACATTTTTGGTTTTCATCTCTCTCCCCTTCTAAGAAGGATTATGGATAATATTTAGGAGTAAAAATTTTGAATTCAAGATGCCCAGTTTGATCCACATTCTTCTCAAAATTTATTCTTTCAAAACTTATTTTCAACCACACATTTTTCAATAAAATAATATTACACGCAAATTCAAAACTTTTCCTTATTTTTTAACAACATATTTTTTATCACATCATGTCATAAAATGCATTATTTTCTAAAAAATGTGCATAAAACACCCAAATCTACCAACTTATATATGTAAGCGATCGTCCTACTTGAACAATTCAATACCCATTTTCCAACCTATATCTGAACGATATCGACCTATATGAACAATACCGAACTCATTTTCATCTTATAAGTTCAGGCACGCGGCTAACAAATCTCACTCATTTTTCAACCAAGGCAAGCCTACATGAACAACCATAGACTCATGTTTCAACCCGTGTATTAAAACACACCATTTGATGTATGAACTCAAGACCCATTAAGTCACGTGATAAGCGCTCAAAAACTCATTTTCAACCTTAAAAATACAATTCTGTATAAAATGGTGACTAGTGTGTGTATATCTTTTACTATGATGACTGATCTTCCCTACAAACACTACACTTTATTTTTTATTTTCATAAAGATAAGGTTTGCTGAATGATTGAGATAGGGATGAACAAATAAATTGTCAAACTCAAAAATCAAATTGATATAGCTCTTTTGAAATCATTAGTGTATTCGTCAACATTTTTGTTTTTAACTGGATCAAACCACTTCGAAGTGGTATGATTTAAGTTTCAATCTTTGCAACCGTTTCAAACTACCAAACCAGTTATAAAATATTAAAAAATAAATTAATGTAAAATTTATCCAACCTAATTAGACAATTATTTATTTTAATTAATAAAACCATACCAAAACACCCACCAATCATCAAAATTATGAATGAAAAATCCTCAAATTGGCTGAAGTGCTGAACGACCACTGATGAATTATATTCATCGGCCACACGTCATAATTGAGTAGACAGTTTGGTGCACATTAAAATGAGAGAATGCATTTTTTTGAAGTGATATGATAGAGAATATGTGGTTGAAAATGAAGGAAAATTTATTGATGTGATGAAAAATATTATTTTATTGAAAAATGTGTGGTTGAAAATGAGTAAAAGAATGAAAATGAAAAAAATAATGTAGCTCAAACAGGAGCTAAATATTACTCCTTCTGTTTCAA